AAGTAAAAAAAAAGCAATATGGGGAGAAAAGTAATTAATCAGAATTGACCCAGCATTCAATACAAATATTAGAATTAGCTGTCAAGGACATTAAAACAATGATTGTAACTGTATTTCGTTTATTCAAAGAGTTGATGGAAACATGGGAAAAAAAATTTTAAGAGTCAAAAGTAAACTTACAGAAATGAAACAAGGATATATGAGATTTTTTTTTAAATCACTGAATGATACCAACAATAGGCAATACCCAAGAAAAGTTCAGTGATCTTGAAGACAAAGCAATAGAAACTATAAAAAATAATAGGGAGAAAGGAAAATAATAATTTTCGAAATGAACCCAAGTATCACTGAGCTGTGGAACAACTTCGAGCAATCTGAGATATATGTAATTGGAGTTCCCAAAGAAGAAGGATGGAGACAAAAAAATCTTGAAGATATAATGGCCAATTTGTTTTCTAAATCTGATGAAGCTCAACAGAGCCCACATACGAGAAACATGAAAAGCCCAGCCAGTATGGCTCAGTGGTTGAGTGTCGACCTGTGCATCAAGAGGTAGCCGGTTCCATTCCTGGTCAGGACACATGCCCAAGTTGTGGGCCCGATCCCCAGTGGGGGGCATGCAGGAGGCGGCCAATGGATACTCTCTCATCAATATTTCTACCTCTCCCTCTCCCTTCCTCTCTCTCTAAAAATCAATAAAGAAAAAAAAAAAGAAAGAACATGAAGAAAACCACACCAAGATACATACATTGTAATCAAATTGCTCAGAGTCAGTGATAAAGAGAAAGTCTTAAAAGCAGAGGGGTGGCGCCCTGGCCACTTTGGCTCAGCAGTTAGAGCTTCAACCCACAGACCAAAGGGTAGGACTTATTTGGAATACACTGGAAACATCACAGTGTTCACATTTCTGCTAACAGTGGGTAGCTGTCCTGTGGTAGACACAATTAGGTACCCCCAATAAAAATAAATGTCCACATCCTAAGCCTGAGAATCTGTAAATATGCTAGCATACATAGGCAGGAAAAATACTTTGCCGATGTAATTAAGTTGTAGATCTTGCCCTGGCTGGTTTGGCTCAGCAGCTGAAGCGTCGGCCTGCAGAGTGAAGAGTCTCAGGTTCGATTCTGGTCAAGAGCACATACCTCGGTTGCGGGTTTGTTCCCTGGCCCTGGTTGGGGTCATGCAGGAGGCAACCAATGGGTGTGCCTCTTTCACACTGATGTTTCTCTCTGTCTGTCTCTCTCTCTCTCTCTCTCTCTCTCTCTCTCTCTCTCTCCCTCTCTCTCTCTCCCTCCCTCCTACCCCCTCTGTCTGAAAATGGAAGGAAAAGCATCCTCAGGTGAGGATTTAAATTTTTTTTTAAGTTGTAGATCTTGAGATGAGGAGATTACCCTGGGTGGGCCCAATATAATTGCAAGGGTCCTCATAAGGAAAGAAAAGGAGGCAGAAGAGTCAGTATCAGAGAAAACAACCTGACAACAGAAAAGGAGGCTGGGCAGCTATAGCCAGGAGCCATGGAGTGTGGCAGCCTCTGGACGCTGAAAACAGGCAGTAAACTGGTTATCCCACAGAGGCCCCAGAGGGCACACAGCGTGGCCAACACGTTGCTTTCGGCCCCCTGGAGCCCTTCTCCGACTTCTGACCCCCAGAACTGTAAGAGCATAAGTATGTGTTGTTTGAAGCCACTAATTCGTGGTCATTTGTTACAGCAACAATAGGAAGCTCATACAGAGCTTGGTGCCTGGAAGTGGGGTACAGCAGTAACAAATAACTAAACATGTGGAGGTGGCTTCGAGGAGTAATCAGACTGACAAAATGTTGCGGACCATAGTAGACAAAGCCTAGGTTGCCTTGAACACACTGTTAGTAGAAAACCGGAATGCTGCCCTGGCCAGTTTGGCTCAGCGGTTAGAGCATCAGCCTGTGGTCCACAGAGACCTGGGTTCGGTTCCCGCTAGGGGCATGTACCTTGGCTGCAGTTTGTTCCCGGCCCTAGTTGGGTCGTGTGGGTGGCGGCCACTCGATGTGTCCCTTTCACATCGATGTTTCTCTCTCTTCCTCTCTCTCCTTCCCGCTTTATCTGAATAAAAAATGGGAAAATGTCCTCGGGTGAGGATAAAAAAGAAAACCGGAATGCTAAGTGAGGACTGAGAATGAAGCAAAGAGCATGGTTTAAAATAAAGACCTCTGTCATCTTAGAGAACATTTAAATCATTGTGAACAGGCTCTTAGAAATATGTATATTAAAATTACTGCTTGTAAAAAAAATCCATTGCCTATGAAAGCTAAAAAGGAAATGAGGAACATGTTATGGGAACTGGAAACCGGAAGGCGTGGGATCCTGGTTAAGTGGTGGCAGAAATCTCAGCCAAATTGTGTCCTGTACTTCTGTGGGAAGCAAAACTGGCAAACCAGTGGTTCTCAGCCTTCCTAATGCCGCGACCCTTTAGTACAGTTCCTCATGTTGTGGTGACCCTCAACCATAAAATTATTTTCGTTGCTACTTCATAACTGTAATTTTGCTACTGTTATGAATCGCCATCAGAAATATGTGTTTTCCGATCATCTCAGGCGATCCCTGTGAAAGGGTCGTTTGACTCCCAAAGGGGTCGCGGCCCACAGGTTGAGAACCGCTGTTGTAAACAATAAATTTGGACACTTGGCTAAGGAGATCTCCAAGCACAGTGTTAAAGGTGTGGTCTGGTTTTGACTTACTGTCATAATGAGTTGAGACTTTTGGAGATATTGGGATGCAACAGATATGAATTGGGGGGGCAGACTTTGTGATAAACAAAATAATGACTCCCTAAAGATATCCATGTCCTCGCTACTGGAACCTATGAATATGTTTCCTTACATGGCAAAAAGGGACTTTGACCAATGGGATTAAGGCACCCATCCTGAGCTGGAGAGATCCCCTGGCTTATCCAGGCAGGCACAATGTTATCACACGGTCCTGATGAGGGAAATCCCTCCCTGCGGCTGGAGCCTGGCAGACGTCCCAGGCCGCTTCCAAAGCAGAGACACACAAACTAGAGAGCGGTTCTAGCCCAGGAAGCACACTTGTGGAATAAATAAATGAGTGAATGAATAGTGAGTAAAGCAGGCAAAATACCCTTTTACAGAGCACACTGGACAGAAGACATTTTTCCTTCATTTTGTAGTTAATTGTATTATGGAAAGAAGACATTTTAATTCAACTCAGAATGTTTATTGATCACCACTATGCGCCTTGCACAGTGTGTGGCCCTGGAGACGGAGGGATATCTAGGTAGGCATGACCCCTGCCCTCATGAAGCTGACGGTCATCCAGGCTTCCACAGCAGGTGTCAGCAACTCTGTCCTGGTCAAGAATGCAGGGGTCCCTCAACAAGAACTGAGCAGATCTTGCCCAAAGTAAAGTGAAGAGAAATCCAGTCTGTACTCTCTTAACCATGCCCAGCTTACATGCTTCAATTTCGTAGTAAGATTAAGTGGAAATGAACATTATCTGGAGTCTTCTTGTGTATCGTCATATAATAAATGTAGGCTTAAGTTATTATGTAAATCTCATCCCTTGGGGCTGGTTTACTCACTCTAAAAAAAAAAGACCCTGCCAGGCATTTCCACGGAGGAATACCCGGCTGCCTGACTACGACCTGTGATCAGGTCACCCCCTGCCTCGGCCCCCACAAAGCCCCCACTGCTCTGAGAGTCAAGTACAAAACCACCAACTTGGCCTCCAGGCCGGGGTGACATTTACAACAGTTAAAACCAAGTACCCCCCTGCCACCTATCGAATGGACACTGGCCATAAATCATCAATGCCTGCAAACCCAAGGCTACCAGCTAAACACCAGACCTGCCCACAGGGTCTAGTGTAACCTAGCCCCTGCCGACCTCTCCAGCCACTCAACCCCCTTCAGCCAAGCTACTGGGCTTTCTGCCTTAAGACCTTCATACCCCCTACTTCCTCTCCCCACGATGCTCTGAGCCCCACCCCTTCCCACACCAGGCCTTCGTCCCTATTTCATGTCTCAATTGGCGCAGCCCTTTTTCAGAGTAGCCTTTCCCTGGCCACTACCACCTCCCCACCCGTTAAATCAGATCTGACTGCCACTGCCCTTTGACAGCCTTTACATCTCCGCATGTTAAGGATAACCAGTGGGATAAACCATCCCTTGTGTAATGACTGTTTTCCTCACTATATTCCAGAGCAGTGGCTGCACCTATCTTATCTACTCTTCCTGGTAACCCCACTGTTATCACGATGCTGTACACAGCAGGAGTTCCTGATAACAGCCAGTACTTACTGAGGGTTTCCTATGGACCAGGCACTGTTCTACCACGTCACTGGATTCGCTCCTTGCAACAGCCCCATGAGGCATTACGATTATTTCAGATGAGGACTCAGACAGAGTCAGGCTAAGTAATTGCCCAAAGTCTCAAAGCCAATAAGTGGAGGGGTAGGAATCTGACCCCAGGCAGTCGGGCTCCAGAGCCCAGGCATTTGCGAAGCACGTGATGCTGCCTTTGAATGCTTGTTGGATGGTTTAATGAAATGCAGTCAAACTTAGTGGGACGAACCGACCAAGCTGCACCCCTAGGAGGACAGATCACCCTCTGCGCTCATGATCTATCCATTAGATGAGAGATACAGGAATAGGTGCTGTTGTAGGTAATATAATTTTAAAAGTATCTTGTAAGAATAACACAGCTGGCTCATGGCTTTCAAGGACTTTGCAACTTCATTCCACTTTACATCCACACCAAAATCACCAGAGAAATATTTCACTGCAAACCAAATATTTCACCACCACGTCCTTTAGTGCCCCCTCGTACCATCAGAACACCACCCCCTCCCCGAATATCTGAACACCTTCAGCATTTCTGAATATTCCTATGACAAGAATACAAGAGAAATCGCAGAGATGATCTGCCAGCAAACAGATGTTAGATGCGCACTCCCCGGGCAGACCCCCTCCCCAAGCTCTGCCCTGCAAAGGAAGAACGGCCTTTACCTTGAAATAAAAGCGCTTTGCTGGCATTGTGCAGTCCGGACACCTTCGTGACGCCAAGGGTCGTGTTCACGAGGTCAAGCTCGGTGATAATATCCATCTGAAGGTCGAGGTCCATCCCAGAGCCCAGCACTGAAAAGGAAAAAAAAGCTGTCTTGACTTAAAACGCAGACTGCTGGCAGTAACATGGAACAGACGTCAGAGAAGCCAGGCCTGGCCGGGAACACGAGGAAGCCAGTGGTGTCTGCTTGGGGATGCTCTCTTGCTGGGCGGAAAAGGAAGGCAACTCTGCTCCATTCCCCCTGACATTATACTTCTTTGTCCCTTATCCCATCCCCACCCCCCATTCATTACAGATTGATAATCCCTTGTCCTAAACCCTCAGAACCTACTGCATTTCAGATTCACAATGTATCATATGTTAGAAAGGGGATGTAATACTGCATTGTACGTAACACTTTCAGCAAAGTCTGAATCAGTGCCCATAATCAAATACAGGGTTTCCAGGGCAAAAAGTATGACGTTTTCCTCTAACTGGCTAAACAGAGAGTCTAAATAACCTCATATCTATTGAGGTCAAGTTTCTGCCACCACATGAGTTCAGCTCAGGGGAGGTTCTGCTGTCAGAAGAGTTATGAAGAAAGTTGGGTTTCCGAGCTTTCTCGGGTCTGGGGACTGTGGGTACAGCACGGCTGTCCTGAAGGTCTGGCTTCAGAGACTGCGGCAGCAGCGGAATCTGACACCCATCGCCAGTGAAGACCTCCTCCTGGAGCACCCTGTTCATCACCACCTGTGGCAAAGAGGAAGGCAATGGACAGAGATCCTGTCCCCAGTGGAGAAGCATGGCAGAGGAACTGGCCAAAAAGAGAATCCCTGTAACGACGAACGTACATTTCCATCCACAGGACTCCGGAACAGAGAGTCAGACACTCTGACTACTCCAGTTGGAGAACCTTAGCGCAGAGAAACATGGCCCTGAGTCCCCTATTGCCCAGGCTAAGAAATGGCAAATCTCTAAGGTTGTCTCAGAACCATCTCCGGGGGAGGGGAGGGGGGTCAGGGGTCTGCAGACACTCATGGCTGCAAAGGGACTTCCAATTATATATATTAATAAGGTCACAGCTCACTCTAAGGGACTGTGTTTAAGCCATTCATTAAGGCTGTGTCTATCTACACTTAGCATCTCAACAGTGCAATTCTGCTGGCACAGTTGGGAATGTTTTAATCAGCAACAGCTGTCAACTTTTGTCTAATGGTAATGCAGTTGCTGAGGCAAGATCTGGAGAGCTTGAGCCCAATTTGTCCCAGAGAGACTGAGTGAACATTCTTCAGGACATCATGAGCTATTACAACCTCATCTGTCCTCCCTTCCTCTAGATCTAGGAATGAAATCTACCCCTTCTTACTCTTCCTGGGAGGAAATAGAGGCTGCTGCACTAATCCGGGCTTCTGTCATAGGAGGGTGGGGCAACCAAGGCTCTTTGGAGCTGAAGCCTGTCCCTGCCAAGGCAGACCAGGGGTTAAATTAAAGACACAGTGCATATAACTGCTTTCTCAGTCTGTCAGGCTTCCCTTGTCCTCTGCACTAAAGAGTAAAGGTTTTCCCTTGCAAATGCAGCAGTTATGAAACGAGTTTACCCAAAGATAACTCTTCCTTCCATTCATCCATTCGTCTTGCATTTGTTCCCTCATTCAATATTTTTCCAACAGGCATTACTGAGGCTTACTGTATAACACACTCATTGCTAAGCCCTGGAGATGCCCTTGCTAAACACGCATTCCTGGGGCAGAAAGCGAGGAGAGGGCAAAAATAAACTAACAAACAATATCATCTGAGATAGCAGTAAGTGCTATGCAGGAAATGCAACAAAGCGATGAAAGAGAAAGCAATTTCCATGGGGCTTTAGAAAAGATGGTCAGGGAAGGTTCTTCTGAACCAAACCCCACATGACGAGAAGGAACCAGCAATGGGCAGTCTGGGGGGAAAGCGCTCCAGCTTTAGACTAGGAACAAAGTCAGCATGTTCGAGGAACAGGAAAAAGCTAGTGTGGCTGGATAGAGTGGGCTGGGGGAGGGAGAGTGGTAGAAAATGAGCAAGGAGACAGGTCATGTTCTCACGGCAATGGGGTGTCATTGGAGGGCTTCAAAGTGTGTATTTCAGAGGCAGAGGAGTGGGATATGCTCTGATTTACATTGTGATCTCATGAAGTTTCCATCCTGCCTGGAAATGCTCATCCCCCACAGATTCAGTTCACAAAGACTGAGTACCGACTCTGTGCAAAGAAGCACTGAGCTACACGGGCGTCCGCCAGCCCAAGCCATGGCAGCCTGTGCCTCTCGTTGAGACTGGTGATGTTTTCCTCCAAGTATGCTCAGTTACCAGCAGTTCTGTGATCTCCTTGAGAAAGTCAGAAAGGAACCAATATTTCAGTTTGATCTGGAGTGTTCCACGCCTGTAAGGCAGAAATTAAATCAAGAGTGATCTCAGAGGACCTCCATGCTGGTGTTTCTCTGGACAGGAACCTGGAAAGCGGTCTGGGGATGGACCCTTAGCTGGACAAGAGAGGAAGGAAGCATCCCTGTAGCCCCGGTGCCTTGCACAGGGCCTGGCATAGAAGGCCCTGAATTTGGGAACCAATTTATGTAACTGATAAGTTGATGCACAATCACTGCTTTGGGTACAATGACCTCAGAGAAATATGCATATCTGGGGGAACCACGAGAGGATGGGATGGCATTCAGGCCCGGGAAATCTTCTAAAAGGACCTTGGTTAACTGAATTCTTGGCTTCAAATCTTTACCCCTCTTATATCCATGCCCTCGGCTGTGTGGTTTGCAGTTCCCTCCACAAGAGTGGGAGTGAAGTCCCCATCCCTTGACTTTGAGCTTGGCCATTAGGATATTGGTGATGTCACACAAGCAGAGGCATGGATGTTCTCTTGTACCCCTGCACCATGATGAGAAAACATGGCCCTGCTGGCCCACTGGTCCAGAGACACGAGACAGGTGGAGCAGACAGCCTACCTGAGTTTGGAACCACGCCCAGCCAAACCGGGCCTTGATCAGCCAACAGCAAAGCAACCTACAGACACGTGTACCAAAATACATGTTATTCTGAGTTTTTGGTAGCTTGTTATGGACATTACTGTGGCACTAGCTGACATGCAGGGACTGATGACCCACTTTGTGAAATCTATACATTAAATCTATATTCACTCCTCCTCCTCCAACCCGTAAGTGAAAGGGCTTCCCTGGCCTTTAGATAATTGTATTGCGCTTATCATGAAAACATCCCACAAAAACAGAACCGGAGAAAGCTTCCCGATGCAGTTTTCTCCTCTCCCTTTAATTGGTCCCCCTCAGGATGAAAAGACCTCGTGCCAACAGCAGCCTGTACTAAAAGACAGCACGCTGCACGCCGCCTGGGGAATCAGGGAAGGTATTGATAAGACAGCGTTCACACGGCCTCTCCTGAACCTTTCGCAGTACGAGCGTTGGATCCATTAAAAATAATTCTTTTCTTTTAATGTTGCTGCTTCTTGTCCAAGCATGGAGCTGCTGCCCTTTCTGAGGAAACTCTATTAAAGTTTTCCACTTGGGCCATAACTGCTCTACAAATGGCTGAAGCTAAGAATTGGAATTAAGCGGGATAAAAAAGCTTCTGCAGAAGAAATATTTTTTGAAACCTCGAAGGCAGAGTGTGGATGTTGCAGAGGCACTTGGGACCTGACTCTGGGCTTCGGAAACTCCATCCTAATCTCCCAGGACACCTGCTGCTGCTGCTGCTGCTGCTGCTGCTGCTGCTGGCCAATCGTCAGCCCTGCCCAGGGAGCACTCAGGGCCAGAACCCACTCAGGGTAACAGGCCTAAGCTCCCAAACAAATCCTCCTGGGTCTGGCTCACTTCAAGTCTAATCTGGCTCACTGTCCACGATGGCAACTGTTTTCCCCTGGTCCATGCAGAGGAATAGGATGCTGGAGAGATGTTCCAAGATGTCATTTTACAGCAGGATTTCACAACCACCTGATAGAATTTGGGCCCCTGGACTCCTACAGAAGTCGTTACTACCCCAAAAGCAATATCCTTGAAGAATATGCTCTAGGCCTGTTCCAATCAGCCAATATTTCACATGCTCACTAGAGGCTGAGGGCTCTGTTCACAGCTCTGTTCAGTTCATACTTAATCAACAGCATGGGTGTTTCGAAAAGGAGAAAACTCGTGGACATAATATGGTATAACTGCTATTATTTTAGCCTTCTAAAGTGGCATTATTAGTAACGTACCTGGAAATCCCAGAATTACTGTTCACCCATAAAAAAACAAGAACTGGAGAACAGCACCTCCGATCTTGCCTCCACTTTACTGAAAACAAGTTCTCCGAACAATGGGCAATTCAAGCAGCTTCCTGTCACACCTATCACTAGATCTTCTCCTATGTAACTGCTACTGCACTGCAGCGCTGCTTTAATTAAAATGTGCCTGATATCATCTCTTCGTTTCCATGAACAGGCAGGGATAGCTGAGCAGCTCACTAAATGTACCACATGTTTATTTCATCTTGGACAGTTAACAGCCCAGACAACAACTGTCCCACTTGACAAATAAACTTTCTGAGCAGCTGTTTGGATCCTGATAAACTAATCACAGACCAGCCTCTGCTACCTAGGAGGATGGATGTGTGATACAGAAATGATGGTCTGGGCAAAATCATAGAGGTTGCTCCCAGAAAGCTGCTAATCAGACCCCCTCGAGCTAAAATAAATTCTCAGTGGAAGAATTGAGATACAACCACCCCAGCCCTTCTCTCTGATTCTTCGGATGATTTTTACAGAAGAAACAGGTGGCCTCTGGTGCTCAAGTAGCATTGGACACCCAGGCTCCCTAAGAAACTGCCACAACCACAGGGTGCTCCCTTGGCGTGCCGCCCTGTCTCTGCGCAGAGTGCACCCCCTGCCTGGAATGCCTTTCCCACTTTGTCCACCTGGAAGACTCCCTAGGAAGACTTCAAGAACACTCTTATTTGTCACCTCCTGAATAAAGCCTTCCCTGACCACCAATCACCCCTCCCCAGAATTCATTCCTACTCTTCCTCCTCTGCATTCCTTCAAGATAAACTTAGACTCCCACCTCCTTCCCAGCCCTCTCCCATCAAACTGTAGAATAAGAATAAAAATGCTTTGCAGGGTGGAGGATGCAAGGGTAAAGGGCGTCAACTATACGGTGATGGAAGAAGACTAGACTTTGTGTGGTGAGTACACAGTGCTATATACAGATCACGTACCAGAATTGTATACCTGAAACCTATAGAATTTTATTAACCAATGTTACCCCAATAAATTTATTTTTTTTTTTAAAAACAGCTTTCCAATCTCTGTCTAGATTCTCAGCTAAACTGTAAGTTCCTGAAAGTCAAGGACCAAGTCCTTTCCTCTTTGCATAAGCAATCCACATAGTCAGCAAGACACTCAACTGTTTGGAATGAATGAATAAATACGTGAATGAATCTTCCCTACAACAGAATTTTTACAAGATGTGAAGGAGCTTGGTGTGGAGAAGGGGGGAAGGCCTTGCTCTTAAGATCTCCACAAGCAGTGCGTCTGGAGGCACAGTCCACTCCCCGTGGAGGCACTTTTCCCGACTTTTCAAAGGAGTAATGAGAACAAAGGAGTTGGCATATTCTGTGGTGATGTGCACTTGAGGATGAGAAATGACCAATGGTGCCCCTTCCCCACCTAGTTTCTCTCTCGGGTTCCTCCTAAGATGCCCACCAGCACCAGATTCTCCGCGCACAGGGCTGGGAGCCCACCCTCTGCACTAGCCTCCCCCGTCCTGATCTTCCGGGGGGCGCATTTTTCCCAATTTGTTCTTGGTTTTTAAAAATACTAACGCAGCGGGATGGGCCTGAACTCAACAAGCAACTAGTCTAGGCTAGACTGAGCCTTGGTGTCTCCAAAGCCTGGAAATCGGAGGAGCAGACAGCAAAGGGATGGAGAGTCCTTTTGTCGGTGGAGAAATCCACACCCGACGTTCTCCATTACGCAAAAGGAAGCCTGCTGCCCAGCTCAGTCCTGGCAAAACCGAAAAAGCCAGCGGGAACCTTCTAGACACCCAACTCCAGCATCCTCTGGCGAGCTAACTGCCAAAGAGGGGCACCTGGGGGCAAGCGGAGGGAACTTTAGAGCCAACCAAGACCAGGCCCCTCTCCCCAGCCCTCTCCGGATAAACTTGCCATCTAGCCTGGGAAGGAGGCTATGCCTCTGGAGAAGGAAAATAAGAGCGGCAAAAGCAGGGCGGGTTGGGGCGGGGGGGGGGGGGACAGGGAATGACTACACACCAATTCTGGGGTTCAAAATCTGGCAGCGCGTACCTAGGCTGGATGGGGTAGAAATAAAAACTTGCCACACAATACCCCCACCCTCCATCGGAGAGCTCCAACTTCGTCTAGGTCCTACTCCATCCCACCCCACCCCCACCTGTCCACATCTGCTAGCCTCTGGGGAAGGCGGCTGACAACCGGTCTCCAAACCTCAGGGGACAGGGGTGTGTCGGGGTGGGAGGCGAGTGGAAGCTAAAGGATGGAGATGCGTTTGGAGTCCTCACAACTACGTGTCTCGAGGCAGAACGAAGTGGTGACTTAAGAAAATTACGCCAATTATCTTTGCCGCCAGCCCCCCCACCTCCCTCCACAACCTCCAACCTGCAATTATAGCAAAGGAAACTGGTGTGGAGCTTGAGAAAATCTCCCGATTGTCTCCACAGTTCCAATTCCCTAATAATTGTACCTCCAGCCCTCGGGCACAGGGGCCGGGGAGAGGGGCGGGGTAAAATACTCCTGAAGAGTGTTTCCCTCGGGAGAGCCAGGAGGGGATGAGCGCGGAAACCCGGGGTTCACCCGCAGCCCTCGCACGGCGCCGCGCCCTCACGGGCTCCGGCAGCGCCCGCCGGCCGGAAGCGCTCCTTCTGCGGGTGCGGCTCCCAGGGCTGCCCCTTCTCGGCCCGGCGGGGCGCAGAGAGAGCGGTTTTCAGCGCACCTTTCAAGTTGTGGGGTGTGGGGCTCGGGGGCCCGCCCTGCGGTGGGTTTACACCGGAAACCGGTTACTAGCAGCAGAAGGGTGCGCTCCCTCGGCCGCGCCCCTCACTCCTGCGTCCGCGAGGCTGCGTCCCCCTGGAAGGGGGCACTCCTCGGGGGGCATCTTCCAGCGTGGGAGTCCCACTTCTCACCCTTTCACCCGGGCAGGGCAGAGGGGTCTGAGGGACCTATGTATGCCGCACCGCCCTTTCCCGGACCAACGCGGAGGTCAGCTCCAGGTCTCCCGGCGCTTGTGTGGGCGCTGGGCACAGCGGGCGGGCTCCCCCCTTTCCCGGTATCCCTCCGACCGCCCCCGCCATTCTTACCTGTCCTGGTGGTGCACACACAGAACCACACAACTAAAATCACATCCATCGGCATCGCTCCCGAGGGTCCCCGCCGAGCGGCGCGTGCGGAAGCCAAGAGGAAAGAAATGCGCCTGGATCCCGAGGCGCGCGGAGCTCAGAACCGCCAAACTTGCTGGCGGGCGGCGGGGGAGGTGGCTCGGCAGCGCCGGGTGCTGCGCTCGGGGATCGCGCCCAGGAAGGCGGCCCCGGCCGCCCCGCCCCCAGCCCGCCCCCCCACGGCGGGCGGCGATCGCGCGGGGCTCCGGCCCCGGTCCCCGCTGCGGCTGCGCTCGCCTTGGAGCTGGGGTGAAGCTCCGGGCTTGGCCACTGAAGCAGGTTGCGCTCCGCCCTGCCCGGGTTCGGGTTCTCCTGCGCCCACGAAGCGGCGGGCGCAGCAACCGCTACTACCCGGAGCTCGGGAGCTGGAGTCCCGGGACCCGCGGCCAAAAGGGAGGATCTGGTGGGGCTAGGCGCCCTCTCTGTTCACACGCTCCCGCCCAGGCGAGCTTGCCTCGCCACTGTCACCGCCTCTGTCTCGGCGCTGCGGTGGGGGCTGTCGAAGTTGCTACCGTTCATCCCGGCAGAGACGAAGAGCCGCGGAGCCCTCGCGAGGGGGCTTTTTTCCGGGGAGAATCCTGGCCGAGAAGGTGCCACGGAGCGCGCCCAGCCCCTCCCCGGAAAGCAATTAGTCGGAATGTGCTCGGGCAACTGGGCAGGGAGGAGCGCGGAGGGACGAGCGGGGCTTGCTGGCTGAGTCCCGGCCCACGACCTGTACTTTCTGTCCGCTCTCCCCGGGCCTTCTGACCCGGGCCGGGAGGGCGCGGGGAGGGCAGGGAGAGCGCGCTGAGGCAGCGGTGCAGAAACAAGGTCCCGGAGCGCAGGCCAGCTACGGTGCGGGTCTGGGGAGCCTGTTTGCAAACCTTCCGGTTCTGCAGGGCAAATGCTGCCACATAGGGGAAATTCCTAATCATTCTTTTTCCCTTGGTTGACTTTCTTGATGGTTTTGTCAAAAGCCCTATTCTGCTTCCATGGTCGCATTTTGGCCTCTCCCACAGTTCCTCTGGGACCCTCCCCCCTCCCCCATCCCAATTCCATTCCCTAAGAGAAAGGCTGGGCTCTGTTTTCTTCGCGTGGACAGAGAGAGAAGTCCTCCTCCAGCCACAGGCCTTCCTAATAAAGGTCCCCCAGGTTGTCTCACTCCCGTCCAGGAGTGCTGTTTGTAACTAGGTGCAGAATCATGTCATCAGATGACAGAACCTCTGATACCAGATGAGCCCCAGGTGATTTAAAGCTCCCCAGCTTGCTCACGCTGGGCCACTCTCTGGGAGCCCACAACACCCCTTTGGTGCTCTGGACAGGAACCCAGAGGAGGAGAGGGAAACTTCTTGGAACAGCCTTCCCTCACTTCCTGGGAATCAATTCCAAAGTTCCGGAATCCACTGCACCCACCCCCCACCCTCCCATGTTCCTAACCCCTGCATAACTCTGACCCCGGAAGCCCCCATTGAAAGTCACCAAACTAGCAGCACTGCTTATTAAGAGAGAAGGCTCGATCTACATATTCTTCTCATTTTGCCCTATTTTTCTGGATGTTTCTGTACACAAGCCACTGTCCCACTTGGGTCCTTTGGCAGACGGAAAAGAAAGAGAACAAGCAGGTAAATTCCAGCTCCTGACAGCTGAGGTAGAAGGAGGGAGGTCAACAAAGAAGCGTGCTGCCCACTCCAGAAGTTGAGCTGAGAGAGGGAGATAAACTGATGTCAAGACTGAAGTGAGTCTCCAAGTCTTCTGGGATTCCACTCAAGCCCAGAAGGGACCTGTCTGCCTTGATTCTGGGTTTTCATTACGGAGTCGGCACTTTTCCCAGGCACTTTCCTGGAGTGTATCACACTTAGAGCTAACATTAGAATCACACATCTTGAAGAAAACGGAATTCCTGGGGTCTAGTTAGGCCTTGTGAATGGGGACACCCATGAAGCACCTCGTGCTGCGGAGCATGCCCCTCTCCTCTGCCTCCGCGGGAGCAGGTTTTAGTCACTTGGAACTGTTGTTTCAAAGGCCTTTTTATTGATCTCAGAAATCCCAGAATCCCCAGAAGTCCCAGTGACCCCCAACCATGGGGAAATGTGGTCTGGTCTGGGTAAGACCTTTAGAGCTCTATCTTAAAGTCTCTATATAATTAGCTGGGCCTGTGGGATGGGGCTTTTAGCGTGTTCCATTAAAAAATAAAGCAAGACATATGTTCTGTCAAAGCTTTTCAGCATCACACCCATTAACAGTAGCAAGAGTTAACCTCAACAAGCTCATAAATCTTCCTAGATAACTAAGTAGTTCAATCTCCTGTAAGTGCATTTCTTGAGTGGGGATTTTGAATGTGTCAACCTGGTAGGCTAAGGTCACCTTCACAGAATTGGCCCCATACGTCTCTGTCGTGGCAGTGAAGGGACTATATGACTGCTCGGTGTTGGGATATTGTCATGGGACCCGTACTCAGTGGAAGCAGCAAGGAGACTCGGGGTACCCAATGCCATATCCCATGTCCACCCTGCACTTCTGAATCGCCTCCCTCCGTGGTTTTTCCCAGAGCCAGGAGCTTCCTTTGATCATCCCTTTGTCTCTTTTTCCTGACTGCTAAATGTTGGAGATCCTCAGGCTCAGCCCTCCCCTTCTCCTCCAGCCACACTCACTCCTATGTCTCCTCAGCCAGCTTGATGGCTTCAACCACTATCTATTTGTGTGGTTCTCAAATGTGTATCTCCAGCCCCAGCCTCTCGTGGAACCTCAGGCTTATATACCCAACTATTTTTTAGGTGTCTTTAATGTAACATGGCCACATCATCAAAATTAAAAACATTTCACTTCAAAGAGTACCACAGGAAGTGAAAAGACAACCCATAGAACAGAAAAAGGGGTGCAAGTCATATACCTAATTGAGATTTGTATTTATTAAAAACTATTACTACTCAATAGTAAAAGACAAATGTAGTTGAATTTAAAAATGGGCAAAGTCTCTGAGTAGACATTTCTCCACAAAAACATATGCAAGCCAGTAAGCACACAGGACGATGTTCAACATCATTCACTATCTAGGAAATGCAAATCGAAACCACACTGAGAAATCTCTTCCCACCCACCAGGATGGCTAAAATAGAAAAGACATCATAAATGTTGACAGGGAAGTGGAGAATTTAGAACCTCATCTACTGCTGGTGGGAATGTGTCAGTCAAGCAAAGTTACTGCGTGATCCAGCCAGTCTACTCGTGGGTACATATGCGAGAGACACGAAGACATACATCTACACACTCGGTTGTGCATAAATGTTCATAGCAGCATGTTCGGAATAGCCAAAAAGAAGAAACAGCCCAAACATCCATCAACTGATGAATGTATAAACACAATGTGGTATATTCATACAATAGAATATTAATCAGCAATAAAGAGAAATGAAGTTATGATGTATGCTACTGCATAGATAAACCTTGAAAACATTATGCTAAGTGACAAGCTGGTCACAAAGGAAGGACCACATAATATCTTACGATTCCATTTATATGAAATGTCCAGAAGAGGCAAGTCTGTCGAGACAGGAAGTGGTTGCCTAGGACTGGAGGGAATGAAGGCTCCACAGTGACACAGGTGACAGCTAACAAATGCAGGGTTTTTTTTGGGTGGTGATGAAGATGTTCTAAAATTGATCATGGTGATGGATGCAAAGCTCCCAGAGAGTCACAACATACTAAACACCATTGAAGCATACCCTTTAAGTGGACGAACTCTATGGTATGTGAATTGTATCTCAATAAAGCTTTCTCAAAAACTTCCTCAATGATCATGAAAACATTATCGTATGGCTAAGTGAGAACTTTTGATTTTTTCCTTTCTCCCATACTCTCTTCTAAGGGGAGGCCACCAAGTGTCAGCAGGTGCTCCAACCAAATAACCCAGGGTCATCCTTGATTTGCGTCCTGATACCCCATGCCTAAGCCATCAAGCCCTATCAGGATACCTTCAAGAAAAATCCCAGATCGCCAGCCCTGACTACTCCTGCCTTCCTCCAATCCATCCCTGTCTTCCCTGGTCTCCTGCCCTGGACTCCCATTGTTCTCTCTGTCTCTACTCTTGCCCTTGACAATTTAGTCACACACACACACCCAACAGTCAGTCTCCATTTTAAAACATGTATCAGCCTACATTCCCTTGCTCAAAATTCCTTCTGCACTTTTCCATCATACTTTGAAAAAAATTCAAACATCACACAAGGCTGTTTGCCCACTTTCCCACCTTTCGCTCTCCCCCTTGCTCACCCCGGATCAGATTTCTTGCTAGTCCTCAAACATTCCCAGTTATACCATCCTCATGCTCTTTCCACTTGCTGCTTCCTCTACCTGGAACATCCTTTCCATAATCTTTGTATGGTTCACATTTTACATGACTCACATCTCTGCGCAAATGTCAGCTCCTCCAGGAGACCCAGCCCAAAGATGCTTGTCACTTCACCCTGTCACTCTCTGTCCCCTTACCCGGCTTTATTTTTTATAGTGCTTATGAGTATCTGAAGTAATGATTTGCTCATTAACATTCATTCTGTCTCCCCCAGTGTAATGTAAGCTCCACAAGAGTGGGATTCCTGTCTTTCTCGCTCTCCACTGTTCCTCTCCCCCGGCATGTGTCACTAAATGTTCGTGGGACGAACGACGCCTGCTCCCCCAGGAAGCAGCATGGGGAGCTGGCCTCCTGTCGGCCATCACCCACAGTCAGACTGCCTTTTGCGACCACCCCCAGAGCAAAAGCAAAATAAAGAAAGAAATTAAAAACCTCCTGTTTTAGGATCCAAACTGACTGCATAAGCAGGAGGCAGTTCCAAGGCTGAGAAACTGTCCATCTCATTCAGTGTCCTCCAGTCCCCCTTCCAAAGTCTCTCTGCTTTGTCCACATAGCCTCTCCACCTTCAGACCATGGACAGCAACAAGTTTCCTTGTAAAAATCCGGGGGCGTGGGGGAGTGACAAGAGAGTGCTGGTGTGGATCAGATTGTGGGCCCTCCAGTGTATGTTGAAGTCTTCACTCCCGGTCCCTTACTTTACTTGGAAATTGGGTCTTTGCCAATGTAAATAAGTTCAGATGAG